CACGTTGCGGTCAACACGGAGTTGAACGCGGTGAGCACTTAAAAAAGTGTAGGAAAACGTCAGTACAGTATGTAGCTATCACACACCGGGGCTAAGTGAACCCTCGTCGTATTGCGAACAGATACACGAGTACAGGAGTATTCCTTAGAGTAGAAGGTAGTAGTTGTCTGCTAAGCTACGTATATCCAAACTTCCTTCTAAGTCGCGTCGCGACCAAACATACTCAAACACGCGCCACATGGGCGCTTCCCCTTACAGATGAAGAACGGATGTCTGAGGGTGATATTTATCGCGCAATCTACCGCGGTGAGCCGGGGGAGGAGACGGATGGGGTCCCTGGAGTGGCACGGTTCTATGATGACTTCGATGTCCCGGCTCCAGACACAGGGAAACCTCAGAGTACTGCTGCTGCCCGACTGAACGAGGAGCGCGGAGACCGGTTCTTTACGAAACGCGTGTTGCGTCGCTGTGTTCTATTATCGGTGGGCATTCCTCTACATCGTTTCAAATCGACAAAGCAGCTCTTGCTAGCCATCCGGGATGCCATCAATGGTATGCATTCGTTCATTTATGCATTCTATTGGCTAAGTTATTTTTTAGGCCATAGGAACATGTGTCAAAAGGGCGTCATTCACCGCGATATCAGTCCCAATAACATTATGATTAGTGTCGATCCCGAGCGAGATGGACATGGATTCCTCATCGATCCTGAACTCGCTCTGGCACCAACCATGGCGAATTACGCCGAGGAGTCAACGATATTCACCGTATGTCCAAAACTAACGTGCAAACTGCCATTCTAACGTAAATTCCCTAGGGAACGTTGGCATTCGTGGCGAACGAACGCCTTGCAGAAATTGAAACAGCAGTGGAAGAAATAGGACTTCGGGCAGTGAAAACAGCGCACCAAGCGTGGCATGACCTCGAATCAGTCTTCTGGGTCTTACTTTTCATTCTGTTGCGGCACACGCAATGCCGCATCGAGGGTGGAGACAGGCGTAAACACCTCACCGACACGTTTGATATGCCAAATCATACTCACCGGAACGGACTACTCGCCGACATCATGCAAAGTATGGTGGTCACGCGCAATACACCTTTGACTCTATGTATCCGTCGACTGGCGGAGGCCGTCTTCAGCCACTACATGCCATTCTACGTGAAGCTCAAATTTCGCGAGGATGAAATCAACCTGCTCAGGCACGAGCACATCATTGATAAGCTTCAAGCCGCGCTGGACAGTGAAGGATGGCCAGACGAGGAAACTGATGGCGCCATCGCTTTCGAGCAGACGGAGAGGCAGAGTGCAGCTGAGAAGAAAATCGTCGCGAGCCCCATCGTGGGTTCCTTGACTTCCGCTATGAAGGCTGGTGTTTTTCTTGCCCCAGCGAAGATCAAAGCATCCAGGGCGCGGTCTGCCCCAAGACTCGTAGCAGCTGCGCCCAGACCTGCCAGAGCCCCGCACGGGCAGGCGCCTGTGGTCTCAGACATACCCCACCCACCTGCGCCGGCGGCGCGCAGGTCCGACCGTCTCGCGACGAAGCGCAAAACGACCGACGAGGATAAGGCGCGGTCGAGCAGCAAAAAGCCTAGACGTGCTGGTGCCGGTGTGTGCCTCGCGCAGGACAACTTGGATGCGCCCCGGCGATCTGCGCGCAAGCAATCCAACTCGTCTCAGGCTGGGCGCCAGGGTGCCAGCGCAGGAACGCGTTCTCAGATGCGGGCGAAGAAAGCTTGACACGCCGTCTCGTCATCCGTGTTATCGTTGTTATCGCGTGATTTATCGCAGGACTTCGCTTTGGGTTTCTTCTCTTTGCAAAGGCTCGTGGATACCCGTGCTAGAGAGGACATTTGCTTTAAGTTATACTGTATCCCATCGCGTGCTGTACCACTGTTTTGAATATATATTACTCTATCTATACCGCTGCTTTTCCCGTCCTTGTAACGTCTCCCGAGCCAGGATCCCAGGCACGATGAGAGCCGAGTGACATACTAGTGAGTGAGATATGGAGCGTCCACACATCTCCTGTAGAGCGAACCAGCCCATCCCTTAAACGACAGCCGCGGCGAGTGATCCTCGCGGCTCTGCTGACGGCTATTCTAATCACTCACTGTTGGTGTGTCAGCAACACGATCACATACAAAGACTAGGGCCGGGAGATAATGCAGGACAGCCGGCCGTGACCCTACAGAGCGCTGGAAGCCACCAGACACACACGCATCCATGTGGGCAACTCGCAAAGAGTAGGTACGGAACGGGCTCGGGGGAGCCACGGCTTACCATGGCCAGTGGAGCGGAGACCGACCGAATGCGCACAGCGCGCCGTCGTAGGACATGCTACTTGCGAGGGCGCTGGTGGGAGGCGAGTGGCGGGCAACGGCGCACCTGAACGCGAGTAGCTGTAGGAAAAACAGGCGTATGGGAGGGAGAGCGGTAGAATGGGGAATGGGTAATGAATAATGATAGCGACTTTGGCGATGGGACGCGGACACAAACCCGGTCTCTCGCGGTGCATCTGGCGGCGGCGCCCCGACTCTCCGCTCGCGCGCGCGATACGGGCGCGATGATGGCAGTCGTCGCCGCGAGTCGCATGAGGAAGCAGCGGTGGATTGGCATGGGGGAGCAGAGTGGATCGCCCTGAGGCTGCGAAATGCGCGCTCGCCTGAATTAATCTCGGGAGCCGCTTTGCGGTACCGGCAGGCCCGGTGTTCTTCTGCGCGTTGATGGGGAAGGCAGAAGACTCGGAGTGCCGCGCCCGCAGTCGAGGCTGGAAAGCGCGAACTAACTTAAGCTCAGGGAGCGGTCACGCCCGGTGAGCCTCGCATCCCCTCCTGTCTCCGCGAGTTCCGCAGAGGTCCAGTGTACGGTGGGCGCCACCGAGTGGCGCCGAGTTTGGACATGTTTGGTTACTGAGTGATAGATGGATGGATTGGGCAGGCGGATCGTTAGACAACTACCTCTGAATCTGCTTAGCTCAATTACCTATCTTGTATCTCTCGCAATAAGACGAGGTTCCATTTATTGGTGTGTGTGTGACACAAGCTAACTGTACTGACTACGGAGATTCTACACTTTTTTAAACGCTCACCGCGTTCAAAAAACTACTGTTTGTTCGCGACTTATTGCATAGGTACACAGATACCATCTATTACTCAAAAATCGAACAAAAACAATACTCTATGGATTCGAACTCATTCCCAGACCCGCCGACGTTCATCGACGGCTGAGCGGTGCGATTACTGTTCCGCCCTGCATCAACCCCAGCACAATTCATGCCAGCAAGGCCGAATCGGCGAGGCGCATCCGGCGTCTGGCCAGCTAGCCGTATAGAGGAAGCTGCAGGCTGAACCGACAGGATCATCCACCAACTGTCGATGCAGGCACTGACCTCGAATTCCTACGAGGAGATTTCGGCGATCGTCGAACAATTAGAAGAAGAGTTGGACTGGTTTAGGGATACTGTTCGGACTGAGGCTGCAAGTAGGAACCGGGAGATCAAGAGGGATGAAGGAGACCGTGTACAACAGACTATGCACAAAGGTGCAGAAGCCATTAACTTGCTCACGGCTAACCTCGATCATATGGAGGCTCGACGCGTAAAACGCGAGCTCGAGACGAGGTCTCCGACCGCTAGACGCGCTACGACGCATCCGCTGAGAGAACGACCTGCCACCCCACGTCCGTTGCACGAGTCGAACCCGTCATCGGGGCTATTCCTAGTCCACCCGATACTCGCCCCGATGTTCAGCAAAACGTTGGCGCACAGGTCGACCCGGTGCAGATGCCCATTGCGGAGCCGGCTCCCATACCAATAGCAGCTCAACAGCCGCCATTCGGACTGCCAGGACTACCGCATCCCCCGCCAACCGGGGACTATCGCATGGAGCGTATCCACCCGTACACGAGCGCCCTTTGGAGAAATGCCGGGTTCGTTCGGTATTTCCCTGTGACCGGACAAACTGGCGCAGAGAACGCCAACGCTGCTGAAGATCATAGTATTACGGCGAGGACAGGAGGAGCCGCCCCAGCAGATGAGCAAGGCTCACGCCGAGGAGCAGAGCCCCGCCCGCTCCAATGGACCAAATCCCAACTCAACAAAGTGGGATTGGCCATCTGGGTCCAGCAGAATGGACGCAATACATCAGCGATATGGGCATGGTATCGGACTGGCAAACAGATCCTGTTATTCAGCGATCCATTGGTAAACTATTTGCTCCCCGTCAGCTGAATGAGGATCAGGCTACGTTTGATGGTAGGGTGGCGGCCGTACAACAGCTGATCAACCCTCCCAGTCAGCCAACACCCAGAGATCAACAGCGTGACCAGAGCCAGCACAGAGTGCGGCCCGACGAATTCACTGTCGATTATGATGCTGCTCAGAATGGACGGAACATAGGATCGAGCCCCGACCACATCTGTCCCCTGAAGCTGGAGGGAGTAACTCCAGAAGTGCCCTCCTCGACGCAAACACTTACGTCGAACCAAAATAGTCGCAACGTGACAAGAGAGGCTAGTCAGGCAAGTGTCCACTCGACCTCCTCTCAGGACGTGAACATTCGTCGAACCGTTGCGACGAGGGGCTACTCTAATGAGCCTCAGGCCATCGGGACTGTGGCCCACGGAAACGAGATCGATGGCAGTACAATTCGCCTCGATCAAACTAATGATGTACGGCAAAGTAATATGTCTCAGCCCACTGCACTAGTACCGTACATGCGTGCTGCGCGAGGTGCCAATGGCGGCAGTCCAGGCGGCGACCCCTCCGACGACGGTGATGACAATTGTCGCGGACGAGGTAATGATGACCGTCAAGACCGTCCTCCTCACCTACCTCCAGACAATGGCCATAGATCGCATCCACCGGACCGTAGGCCTGTAGGACAACCTACAAGTGGCTCTGGTGGTGACGGCGGAGGCGGAGGCAGAGGCGGGGGAGGAGGCAGAGGAGGCCCAGAAGACTCCTATAACTCAGGTCGACGTCAACGACGAGTCGCTGTGGTAGTACCTACAGGTGGTGCAGGGGGTGGAGGGGGCAGAGGAGATCCACCAGGAGGAGGTGGAAACCCTCCTGGGGATGATCCCTCTGATGACGATGGAGATAACGATGACAATCCCAGGAATATCAGGTGTCGTAATTGGCAGCGAGCAGCTACTCCCGCGCATGAATACGAAGACAAACTTGTAGAGAAAGCATTGATGACAATACGTAGTGCGCGTCGATGGGCTGCGCCCTATACTCTGGAGACACGAAACTTTAAGCCGGCCGCCAAAAGGTTATATGATGGCAGGGCGGATATACGTTTCTTTGAAAAGTGGCTGTCAGACATATTGACAGACTTCGACCTCATGGCATAGGGCGTGATAATTATGATCGCCAGCACGTCTTACTCGTATCTAGATATTTTGAAGGCGATGCCGCCAAAGGGTTCTATCAGGAAGTCCAGGATTACAACCGAGAGAAAGACAAATGGACTTTCCCTGAAGTCATAGTGGGACTAATCCGTCACCACCTCTATGTAGCCACTTCCAAGGAGGCTGACAACATGTATGAACGGATTACATATTCAATGAAGCATGGCATTCGGCGCATGGTAAATGAACTCGAGTACTGGGGACGCAGACGAGCTGCCAGGCCCCATGAGTATGACATGAAGAAACGTATATTTGACAGTATTCCTGACTGGATCCGCTATGATTGCTTATACGTTCGACTGCTGACTCCCGAGGAGAGTCCATTGACTACAGTAGTCGAGCACATAGAGGCCCTGGAAAAAGCTACAGTCCCGGACAAGCAAAGGCAACAAATTGATTTCTGACCGAACGAGATTTTTTGGCGGGAAACCGACTTCAGATTTGGACTCAGGGAGGCTGGAAACGTCCAAAAATGAGGTCCCCTTATTTTCCCACGACTTTTTGATGTGGCCAAAATTTTGGGCCATTTCAACGACATTCTACACGGTCACCGGACCTCCCAGGTCACGCCCGGAGCATTTGGGGACCTGTAAACCCTTGCATGGAGCTGCATCTAGGCTTTCAAAGACTTCGGACCTCCTTCTGAGGCTGCCCACTGGCAAGGAAGTTCAAATTTATGGCACATGTTACCTTGATTGCCATATTTGGCCCACACTTATGAGAGCTATTATGGCATACCGGCTGGTCCAATTATTAGATTTAAGCCGGAATCAGACTCAGCTCATTGAAAAGAGTCGATTGGCATATTTTCCGCATTTTTCCCGATTTGTTTTGTATACGGCCAAAATTTTGGCCCATCCCGACCTGCTGCAGGGGGTTTATGGGAAATCGGCTCGTGCCAATCTCTTCTTTAGAGTCTAAATCACTCATTTCTGCAATAAAATTGGGGTTCCCACGGCTGCTGGACCTCAGGAAATCTGGTCACCGAATTTGTTGTCTTTGGTTGTCCGGGACTGTAGCAAATATGAGAAGTCTACATTCAATGCTAGCAGTGTGCATCGAGGATCTCAACCACCCGCACCTACTCGGTCCAATGCTCCCCAGCAAGCGAAACCGACACAAGTCGCTCAGCCAATGCCCCAATCCCCAATTATGTCGGGAACTGGGCAGCAACAGCGGACGGGTGATAATGCATGATGGTCTCGTCCTCAACAAAACTTCCAGCGTCCTCGACAACCAGCTCCAGCTGAGAACAGTCGCTTCATTCCTCGTCGAACTAATCCGGCTCCTCAACGACCTAATCAGGATTGTAAAGATGCTCCACGAGGAGCGACTAGTGGCCCTACTTGTCAAGCGACGAGTACAGACTCATGTTTCCGCTGTGGTCAGAAAGGACACTTCAGCAAGGATTGTCCTACTCGACCAAAAGAGCATATGAGAGCCATGGATGACAATCAGGGTGAAGACGTTGCAGAGACCGTCCAACCTGAAATGGAAGATGAGTATGAAGCACCGGAAGGTGATGGGTTAGCTGAACCCCTCAAGGAGGATGAGTACGACTTCTACAATCAGGAATATGATGGTGACCAATATGACAACGATGAGCCTGAATCTGACAACAGAGTTGGGCTCATGCACTACAAAGATGATGAGGCCAACATTGCTGACTTTATACTGTCGGACGATGGCGAAAGCCCTTATGAGTATCTTACCGCCATCCGTGATCTATCAGATGAGGAGATATTATCATCGGGTCATGATGCATGGGCAGATCACCATCCTGAGTTATCTACTCAAGGAGTTGGATCTAGTACCCTGGACTCGGATGACAAGACAGTGCATACAGTATTCGTTGGAGATGATCCATTGTCCAACGAATATGAGATGTCGGTTGGTCCAGTGCCACCTCTGGTTAGTGATCTTCAGTGCCGAATAGATGATCTCGAGTTCGAGAACCAGTTATTACGGGAATCTAATGAAGCACTTGGCCAGGAGAATGATCAACTGACTATGGATAACCGTGCACTGCTACAGAAACTCGGGATATGTGATGCCCTTAAAGACGATATCTTAAGGTTACGAGCGCGCATCCAGGAGTTCGAATCCCAGGATGTTCCGCCGTATATCTTGGCCATTAAAGAAGTTAAGACACCTACAACTTCTGCGATCACTACCCCTGTTGATGGCGACTTAGTGCCAGTACGTAGCCGATTGGTGTTACGTGATACGCCAGGCAATCGCCCAACACGAACGAATTCAGAGCGTCAATGCATGACTGGCTACATCCGCATCAATGGTATATTGGCCCATGCATTGTTTGATTCAGGCAGCACGCTTGACTGCATTAGCCCGGACTTTGCGTGTATTGCGAATATCATGTGTTTTGAGCTGAATAACCCCACATCCCTTCAGCTCGGCACTGTGGGTAGTCGCTTGAAGGTCAACTATGGTGCTCATTTGAAGCTTTCGATTGGCGGTCACTCCATTGATCACTATTTTGACGTGGCTAATATCGACCATTATGATATTGTAATCGGCACACCGTTTTTGCGCGCAAGCCATACGATTATGAACTTCAAGGATAATACATTATCGGTATTCGGGAAGATCATTCCCTCACCTCCAAAGGGGGAGGGACAGGTTCATACGAATCACATAAAGAGCAGGAAGCCTGCCAAGACGGATCAATCCCATAAACCAGAATGAATCCCTGGCGTGGCGACGGTCACGCCGCGGCCAAAATGGCAAGTAACTGTTGAGGAAGTGCCAGATGAGGAATTCACAAGGCCTCGTCAATACTCGTCTGGACCATTGCTGGAATTAGTTGAGGATGACTTAAATCAACCAAATACTAATGATTCGTTATACGGTAATCAACCTGGTATCGGTAATACTAAAGGACCTATCGAGGACAAATCTCAGCCTAAGTATCCTCCTACACGAGACGCAGAGACTCAGAAAACTCGACGAAGGGTCCCAGTCAGGCAATCCAGCAAACGGATGGGCGATGTGAATCAGAAAATACCATTGTTGGGTATGGATTTTGCGCCTACACTTCACTCATCGTATGATGGTCCTCGAGACAAGTACGGCAATGAAGACCCGTTTGGAATTGATGAGTCAATATTGGACACATTCGAGGAATGTATTCGGCATGCTCATGAGCATGGTGATTTCACTGAAGAAGACATTCCACAACTTAGAGAAGAATGGTTGGAGCGGTGTAAAGATCTAATGGGAGATATTCCATTGAGACTACCCCCATTGCGGCCTATCAATCACCACATTCCTCTCAAGGATGATAATGCTCAATATAATTAGCATCTGCCTCGTTGTCCAGAGTCAATGCGACCGTTGCTTTTAGCCAAGATCGAACGGTATAAATCTGCGAACTGGTGGAAAGATGTAACAGTCAGCCAAGCTGCTCCTCTTCTATGCATTCCAAAGAAAGATGGTCGTTTGAGGACAGTGGTGAATTGCAGACAGCGTAACGACAACACTCTGCATGACATAACACCATTTCCAGACCAAGATCAGATTCGTATGGACGTTGCGAAGGCTAAATTCCGCTCGAAAATTGACATGTCGGACGCTTACGAACAAATCCGAGTCGAGCCAAAGGACGTATGGAAAACGGCATTCGCCACTATCTACAGTACTTTTCTCAGCTACGTTATGCAGCAAGGCGATACAAACGCGCCGGCTACATTCCAACGACTTATGACGTTCATATTCTGTGAACTCATTGGAGTGTTTGTACCTGGACTTGTACCTGGACGATATCTTCGTATTTTCGGACTCTATTGAGGATCATGAAAAACACTTAGGAATGGTATTCGATCATCTCAGGCAGTATCAATTGTATTTGAGTAAAACTAAGTGCAACCTCTATTCGAAGCGAATGGACTGTCTTGGTCATGTAATTGATGATCGTGGACTTCATGTGGACTCAGACAAGATGGCGCGCATATGTGAATGGAGAACGCCTCGTAACTTCAATGAAGTACAGCGGTTCCTAGGCCTTGTGCAGTACCTCGCACACTTTATGCCTGATGTGACAGCCTATACTGGGCCGCTTGCAAGCATGTGTCGAGATAATCGCTCATTTTCTTGGCAACCAATGCATGATAA